CATACTGTATTTCTTACCTTTCTGTTAGGCTCTTTGAAGCAGGTCTATACATAGAACATTAAAGTATTATCATTTCTACTTGTTAGAATATATGGTAATGTGGTGATAAGGGACAAAGTGAGAGATGGTGCATTACCATAAAATGTACCATCCAACCCTCTGTATGGACAGCTGCAACCCATATATAAATCTGCCAGCCTAGTACAAACAGGGTTAAAGTAGCATTAAGGTCTGGGCATTTTTTACCTTAATGCATTCTCTGCATTAGTGTAGAAATGGCCCAGCACCTTTTTTTAACCCCAGTCCCCCCCAGACTTACCTATCAGCTGCCGGTCCCCGCTGCGGGTCTGAAGAGATCCTCCGTTCCCCGAACTTCCGGGTTGATGATGGCAGAGGAGCCGTAGGCTCCTTATGCTATCAAAGTGTTGGTCAGAGAGAAGCAACGTGGCCTGCAACAGGGCTGCCTATGTCTATGGACGCACACAGCCACTGCAGAAACGAGCAGGGACGAACGCGCACAGGTGCCTCCATTAGAACGATGGTGGCACAGGGGCGGGGGGAAGTGCGCTGTGGGGAGCCACTAGAAAACGAGGACTTAGTCACTTTTGAGGAATAAAAGCAACAGCCTCCAGCAAAGGAGAGTCTCCTTAAAGGAGAAATTTAAAAAAAAAGTTAGGCTTTAATATCACTTTAAGTATGGTAAACTCCTCAGCCCCCTGATTAACATTACATAGCAGGGGAAAGACAACTATGATTTTAGCATGTAAAGTAAGCAGCACATTTTATTTTGTTTTAAACTTATACTATAAGAATAGGAATATGTAACAAACATAATGTAGTTGCCATCTCATTTTGGCTATTAAAAGGGGAAAAGCACTCACCTCATAGTTCTAGCCGACCTGTGACAATGAGACTGTCACAGATTGGCTCAGTAGATCGGAAGGTGAGCGACCACATACCGGCGTTCGCTCACCTCTTGATCCTGTCACGGCTCTCTGCCGTGGCAGGGGAGGGGCGGGATTCCCCCCTCTGATAGCGCTGACTGGCGGAACGGACGGGGGAGGGTACAGCTGGCTCTGCCTCTAGATAGGCAGAGCCAGCTGTCAGTCACGCAGCTGGGCGGATCCAGACATAAGTATACCGCGAGCTACAGCTCGCGGTATACTGAGCCTAGGGGGACGGGAGGACGCTAGTTTGTGTCCTCCCGTTACCCTAAGGAGAACTATGGGGAAAAGCCTTAACCCCATAGTTCTCCTTTAAAGTGGAATGCATTCTTTAGTGGAAATCATTCTCTGTTAAGCAGCTACTAGAGGAAATACATTCAATTCTGTACACAAAATACAATGAAAAGATTTGAAAAAACCATGAATAAGACAAGTTTAGCCTAACATTTTACTACATTTCAAAACAATGATTTAAAGAAAATACAGATTCACTTTAAAGTAGTATTAAACTCTAAAACATGTTTTCACTAATGAATCCAGAGCAAACAAATGTACATTGCCCAGCAGAGTATTTCTTTACATTTTTGACCAAGCACTTACAATCATCATTGTTGTTCCAAACAGTTACAACTCTCTCAGGTTGGCTTCCCTGAGCTTCATGTCCAGTACAAACAGCACAGTCTCCAGAAGCTGTCCATCTGCTAGCTTGGTGAAGTAAGGAGGGAGGAGCATGGGGGAGGGGATGGTCTTGTCTCGCTGTGTTTGTGGAGACATAGTTTACGAGCAAACACAAGGGTTGCTCTATAGGACCCTGCAAGGGAGAGGAGCCGCCCTAAAACAGGATTATCAGGCCCAATGCTTAGGGGAGCAGATGATTCTAGAGGAAACTAAAACTTTTAAACATCAAGGAGCAGCATCCATTGTAAGTGATTTAAATCAGCATTTCAAATAGCTTAGAAATATTTTGGCCTCATCACTTTAAAAAGGGAACTGCATTACAACTCCCTACAAAAGATACACTAACAGCTATTCCTTCACCAACTGGGAGACAATTTTGCTTACATATGTGATAGACAAACATGTGTGGGTCTCTTCTTAATGAATACTTGTGCAGTATAAAGATGGTTAACAAAAAACCCCTTCTAGCTCAGTGCCGTCGCAATGCTATATTTCCCATTGTAATCAGACTACGTGCCAGCTGCCACCCACCCAAAGGTTGACAGCACGCGTTCATTTTAGACTTGTTTTGTCCTCCTGAGTTGTTATTCACAATGGATGTTTTCCTTCTCTTGATAGAAGATGTGATCACAAAACGCTGATGAAAACATGAGTTGTGCAATAAGGCTGCTTGAATTCCTTCTAAGTGTCATAAGAAATTTAGCATTTCTTAGAATGTTCTTAGAGAATAAGGACAAAGTAATGAATGTTGAAATAAAGCATTTCTTCAGATCTCCATAAATACACACACACTAAGGGTGCATTCACACTGGAATTGGCGTGATAAACGTCAGTCAACGAAGCTGCTTTGAGTTGCATTTGCAGAGTTCTTTGACATGGCATTCCTTTTTTTTTCGGGGGGGGGGATGATATTTATTTTAAGTAACATCCTATGAGGCCAAACTTTTCACTTTTTTTTTGCTTGCATTGTGATGACATGCGTTGGCATATGTTGCGTTAAAAAAATGTAGAGCATGTGCTACATTTTTTCCCAGTGCATAGCAGCGCAGCAGTGTGAATTGCTCCCATTCACACTCATTCATTTCCTGATTTCCTTGCGGTCACATCCTTTGAAAAACGGATGCCAATGCATCTGGTTTAAATGGGCCTTAATGATTAATAGCACCAGCCCCATCTCAGACCACCTATTCAAGAGAGAATTCCCAGCTTCCCAGCCAATCAGCATTGAGCTGGCTATTCGGCCGGCTCGTTGCGGATTGGCCGGCTTCCCAGCCAATCAGCATGGAGCTGGCTTCCCTGCCAATCAGGAAGGCGGCAGGCGGATTAATCGCCACCCGGCTTCCTGATTGCCTGGGAAGCAGACTCCATGTTCCCCTACGGCACCACAGGTGGGTCCGGTGTTGGGGGAAGGTATCGGAGCATTTGGGCGCATACGAGTACTCGCCCAAACACTCTGTATCGGCATCGGTGCACCCCTATTAAAATCCATAATGCTTACTTCATCATCTATACTGCATCTGTGAAAGTGCTCTGATACTCAATCACAGATATATTTTCAGGAAAACCAGAAACATAAATGAATCATGGCTTGGATGACCTATCCTTCTACCTATACATTTACACTGATAGCCATCACACTTCTTATCTGGCTCCCAAACACGTTTTTTCCCTTTTATTATATTATTCATTCTCTTTTTCCCTGACCATTTTTTTCTTAATGTTATCTGGTACAGTTCTGGAAGTCTCCATTATACAGATACTCCCCACTTAACAACTGCTCCGTTCTTATGACTAGGTCGTTAAGCAAATTGGTCACTAAGTGAGGAATAGAGAATATCAGCTCTAATATATGGTACAGTGCTCAATACTGACCGGTTGGAAAGTTGGCTGCATGTCCGGACAGTCAATTACTTAGGTTTGTATACTGTAAATACCCAGGTTCTTGTTCTGGTTGCATAATATAAAACTTATTTTTCGTTTTGCATAGAGTAGTGAAGGGTTAAAAACTCTTCTTTTTTTGGGGGGGGGGCGCTTAGGCCCTCTTGGGGAGGTTACCCTTCACTTCTTGTCCGAGAGATGGCAAGAAGTAAGAAGAAACTTTACAAGTGAAGGGTATTCCTGTCCCACTATTCCTGTCCAAGTGACAAATAAAAATGTTGGGTTTTCTCTCACTTTCAGTCCCGGTTACAGTGATCACTAGGACATGTAGAGGGTGCATCTACTAGCAGGTACACAGAAAAAAATTAAAACTTGACGGAGGTTCTAACCCTCCCCTATTCTCTAATCTTCCCTAATCTAAAACCAGAGATCTACTTGATCCTTTAGGAGCAGAAGTGGGCTGGCGCTACCTCTAGGTTGAATGGTGGGAGAAAGTGTGGCAAGCGGACATGCAAGGCTACACCTAATGGATGACATCAGTGCTCAAGTGCTTCAGCCTTACCACCGTGAAACCAGCTCTTAGCAGAAAATGTAAAATGAGCACCTGCACAACAGTAAGATAGCTCCTGCTAAGGTGCTTCAGCTTGACTGACCTCACTATGCAACTCATCAGTGATCAGGTCACACAAGAGGCTGTGCCACAGCTCTGGACCTTGTAGAGTGCTCTGCAGCTAAATAACACACATAGGTCTAACAAGAGCAACAATGGAGGGCCCAATGACTGAAGGTCATTTTCCGGGGTAGACCCACAACTTTCCAGTTCAGCGCCATGTAGGTACAGCTTCCAAAGATAGGCTGAGGAAATGCCGATCTCCATCAGCCCTGAAGGCTTTATTCACAAAGCGAGTCTTCAGAGACTGGGTCAAACCAGAGGCTGTGCCACTGCTCTGGACCATAACAGCAGCCTGTGGCTAACTAACAGCACCCAGCTTAAAAGCTTAATAATACAAAGCCCAGTGCCTGAAGGTTACATTCCAGGTTAGCCTGGCAATTCTCCAAGGGACAGCTTACAACGTTAGGCTAAACAAATGCAGATCTGCTTCAGCAAAAAAAGGTTTACAAACAAAGAGAGTCTTTAGAGACTGGATGAAACCAGAGGCTGTGCCCAAAAAGCTTACCACACAAGGTTGAACATACCCTATAACGAATATATATTGTGGGCCACAGGTGAAGTACATCTCACTGAATGGAGGGACTTAACACCATGAAGATTTTGCATGATGAGGTATGATCCAGCACAATCCCATGCTGCAAGTACATTGGTAATTGTTCCCCACAGAAGTGAAGGCTGAACATTGACTAAAAACAGATCTACCTGGGTTCTAAGAGCCCTATTCTTTTACTGTCTTACATTTTAGGTTTTGTGGTTCTTTAGTATTTAGATAATTTGTTCTCATAGCTACACCACACAGTTGCATTGTTTTACTGGATACTACTTACTCTTTGGGTGTGTTGAAGTCTTCCAATCTAGCCTCAAAAAACTGCAGGACTTCATCACACTGGGAGATATAAGGAGGCAGCCTGATAAGAGTCTGAATACAAGATAACAGTGTTACTTTCTCAATAGTACAACTGGCAGTAAGATCTGTAAAGAAGCAGTCAAACATTAACAAGTATGAGCTAATTTTGTTAACAGTTAAATCCATTGCAGCCAACATTTCCTCCCATGTTCAGTGGGAGGGTCAGTTTCCTAAAACTTGTGCATTGCCATGTTCTCGATCTCTACTCCATGTATTAACCATTCAAACACCATTTTAGGCTTGGAACACTGTGAACAAATTCTTTGTATTCATACAGAGAGATAGCAAGGGACATATAGCAGGTGTATACAGTATTGTATCTCCTGCATTGTAAACCAGATTACGGCAACGAGGTAGCATGGTGTAATAAAGTAATGTCCGGATAAAAAAAAGTAAAGGCCAAATCAGGTAGGCTGTGCTTACTATGGGAATTTCAAAGTTTAATTTCAAGTTCTTACTGGAGTGTATCTCATGAATGTTTTAAAGATGTGCATTGATGACAGAAACCCATAACTCTTGAAATAAACACTCTTTATCTCATGAATGTTTTAAAGATGTGCATTGATGACAGAAACCCATAACTCTACTCCTTATAGTGTGTTTGCAAAACAGTTTTATTGCACAACACCTGGAATCCTGAAAAGACTGGCTGGCTACAACAACAAAGGGTCACACTAGATTACAGGTCTGTCATCCAAAAAGGAAACAAAAAAAAACGTTACAGTGAGAATCAAAACTGAATGATCCAAAAATGGAGAAGCTTTGCCTGGTCAGCCAAATTCTAACTTCTGACAGGACAAGCAAATGATTGGGTCAGAATTGGTCATATACATCCTCTCATGATGAGGAGAAATTGAAGGTCTGCAGTAAGAGGGTATGCATGGCAAATCTGCACAACTACATGATACAATTGAGTCAACATAACCAAAATCCTGGGAAGGTTACATCAGCAGAGCATTCCTGCGAAATCTCATCAGTAATCTCATGAGATCTCAGGGAAAGGCATTTTCCTCCCCGGAGATTATGTCCATGGTCACATGTACTAGTCACATGTGCCAGAGTTCAAGGAAGTAAAAGGAGAGCTAGTAACCTGCCCTTATTTAACATGGCCTCTGTCAGAAGACAGGGGAAGAAAAGAGAAATAAGGTATGTAAAGAATACAAAACCGGCAATTATCTATAAGCAGGGCTTGAAAAATCCACTCGTCTGTGACGAAAAAGACGGCTGAGCCTGACAAACAGCTTCCCGGCCAGCTGTTGTAATTACACGGTCAGCCGGGAGCTTTACATTCAAGCGATCAAGCGTCTCGAGACGCCCGATCGCTTGTATTACGAGCAGCTGTCACTACCTTTGCTGGTCCCAAGATCCGCTGTGCCCGATGTGGCCGGAACCGTCACGGCTCTGTGACATGAGATCAAAGGGTGCTCAATACACGACCTCCCTTTGATCTCCTCTCAGTCCCCGAATGCAGGAAGTGATGTATAATACATCACTTCCGGCATTCAGTGTCACTCTCCAGCTACAGCAGATCTCTGCTTCATCAGCTTCTCTGGGGGTCTCTACGTGACATTAGGGGTCTTAAAGACCCCTGGTGTCTTCATAAAAGAGGATCTGTCATGTAAATTGGCTATCACATAGGGGGATTCTTAGCCCCCAATGTGATAGCAATAAAGTTGTGTAAAAGAAAAAAAAGTAATACAAAAATGAAAGAATAATTAAAAAAAAAAAAGCATAAAAAAATTAAATTTTTTATTTTTTTTAAAGTCCTCCGCCCCCACATGCAGATATGCGTCGGATACACCTACGTGCGAAAACAACGATTGCGCCTATTGTGCCGCACATGTTACATATAACCGCGAACGTCATAGTGAGAGCAATAATTCTAGGGCCATTAATTACTGATAACACTAAACTGATGAGCGGTAAATCGTTTTAAGCGTCGCCTATGGTCAATTTTCAGTGTGGTAGTTTTTTTGCGATTTTGCTGGCGCACGCAATTTTATGGCTTGACATGTTTGGTGTCTATTTACCCGACGTGACCCCGTTTTTTATGTTTTACCAAAAATATGGGTAAGAATAGATGTTTTATAAACATAACTTAGGGAAACTGTTTTTTTTTTTAATTTACTGTACTTTTTTCATTATATACTAAAAAATA